GGGATGCGTTGGGGGTGGGGGCAGCATGTGGCGGTGTGTGAGCGTGGGGGGAGGGTACACATGGTCACAAACATTCTCCACCTCTTCTAGGAGCGAACTGGCAACGACCTGTCCCAGGCCCGCCCCAACCCACCTACATTCGCTCAGGGCGTCATCAGTAAGTAGCTGGTGCTGGGGGGCCCCGGCCAGGGCAGGCACACATGGTCACAAACATTCTCCACCTCTTCTAGGAGCGAACTGGCAACGACCTGTCCCAGGCCCGCCCCAACCCACCTACATTCGCTCAGGGCGTCATCAGTAAGTAGCTGGTGCTGGGGGGCCCCGGCCAGGTCAGGGGGCATGTGGAGGGTTGTGTGGGCTGGCTCTGGGCATAGCCCTGCCCTCCTGATGGCCGCTGCAGGGCGTGGCTGAGAGTGGAGAGGATGGTTTTTCTAGCTGGGGCGGGGGTGCTGGGGCTCCCTTCCCCCAGTGCCTCTCCATGTCCCACACCCAGCAGCTCCTGCAGGTGCAGCTGAAGGTGCTGGAGGAGCAGATCGGGGTGCACCGCAAGTCCCGCAAAGCCCTGTGCGCCAAGCAGCGCACGGCCAAGAAGGCCGGCCGCGAGTTCCCCGAGGCCGACGCCGAGAAGCTCAAGCTGGTGACGGAGCAGCAGAGCAAGATCCAGAAGCAGCTGGACCAGGTGGGGGCACCCAGCAGCTCCTGCAGGTGCAGCTGAAGGTGCTGGAGGAGCAGATCGGGGTGCACCGCAAGTCCCGCAAAGCCCTGTGCGCCAAGCAGCGCACGGCCAAGAAGGCCGGCCGCGAGTTCCCCGAGGCCGACGCCGAGAAGCTCAAGCTGGTGACGGAGCAGCAGAGCAAGATCCAGAAGCAGCTGGACCAGGTGGGGGATGCACCGAGAGGGCAGGGGTGGAGGCAGCCTAGAAACCACCTGGGGCTAGAGCATTTGGAGGAGACTGTTAGGGTACGTCTAGACTACAGGCTTCCGTCGACAAAGAGCGTCTAGACTACACTGAGTTCTGTCAACAAAGCAAGCTGCTTTGTCGACATGGTAGTGTGGACGCAAAGGACAGTTTACATTCAATAACACCTTCTGTCGACAGAAACTCTGTCGACAGAAGGCGTTATGCCTCGTAAAATGAGGAGGGGTAGTGTGGACGCAGATAGTTTTGTCGACAAACCCCTGTAGTCTAGACACACCCTTACAGTCCAGTGGGGGCAGGGAGGTGGGGCCCTGGGCTGGGACTGATGGGCAGGTTGAGGGCTCTGGGCAAAGTGGGGGGGGTGGGATGTGTGCCAGTCGGGTCAGGGGGCACTGAGCACAGCAAGGGAGGGCAGGGTGGGCATGTCGGG